TAGATATCGAACTATATAAGGTCAACTAGAAACATTGCATATTTCTCTAGTTAAACATGCTAGGTAAAGTGGAGAGTACTTTAGTACTCATAGCAACTGGAGAGTTTTTAGTGGGGATCTTAGGAAATGCATTTATTGGATTTGTAAACTGCATGGACTGGCTCAAGAATAGGAAGATTGCCTCCATCGATTTAATCCTCACGAGCCTGGCCGTATCCAGAATTTGTCTACTGGTTATAATACTGTTAGATTGTTTTATATTGGTGCTGTATCCAGATGTCTATATCACTGGTAAACAAATGAGAATCATTGACTTCTTCTGGACACTAACCAACCATTTAAGTGTCTGGTTTGCAACCTGCCTCAGTATCTTCTATTTCCTCAAGATAGCTAATTTTTTCCACCCCCTCTTCCTCTGGATGAAGTGGAGAATTGACAGAGTGATTCTCAGGATTCTGCTGGGGTGCTTTGCCCTCTCTGTGTTTATTAGCCTTCCAGTCACTAAGAATTTGAATGATGATTTCAGGTCTTGTGTCAAGGTGAAGTGGAAAACAAACTTAAGTTTGAGATGCAGAGTAAATAAAGCTGAATATGCGTCCAACAAGATAGTGCTCAACTCGTTAACACTGTTCCCCTTTTCTGTGTCCCTGATCTCCTTTCTCCTCCTGATCCTCTCCCTGTGGAGACACATGAGGCAAATGCGGCTCAATGCCACGGGGTACAGAGACCCCAGCACAGAGGCCCATGCAGGAGCCCTGAAAGCAGTCATCTCCTTCCTCCTCCTCTTTGTTGCCTACTGCTTGTCCTTTCTCATAGCCACCTCCAGCTACTTTATGCCAGAGACTGAATTAGCTGTGATTCTGGGTGAGTCGATCGCTCTAATCTATCCCTCAAGCCATTCATTCATCCTGATACTGGGGAACAATAAATTAAGACAAGCATCTCTCAGGGTGCTTTGGAAAGCAAAGTATATCCTAAACAGAAGAAAATTCTAACAACATGCACAGATCTGAAAAGAAGCTGTTATTTTCTAGGACAAATGACGACAAGCTGTTTCTTAATTATCTCCAGTTCCTACATTAATGTTGGTTTCATGTGGTTAATTCCTCTTAAAACTTATTTAGTATAATTGCAGTTGTAATGTTGAGACTTATGTAAAGCTGACTTTGCATGTCTTTATCTCTGTCTCTGCCTCTCTGTCTCTCTGACTCTCTGTCTGTCTGTCTCTGCTCTCACTCTTCAGAGTTATTTTTTAAAACATGTTTCAGGCTAGACGAGGTGGCTCACGCCTGTAATCCTAGCACTCTGGGAGGCTGAGGTGGGAGGATAGCTTGAGTTCAGGAGTTCGAGATAAGCCTGAGCAAAAGTGAGACCCCCGTCTCTACTAAAAACAGAAAAAATTAGCCGGGCATGGTGAGTGCCTGTAGTCCCAGCTACTCAGAAGGCTGAAGCAAGAGGATCACTTGAGCCCAGGAGTCTGAGGTTGCTGTGAGCTACGATGACACCACTGCACTCTACCCAGGGCAACAGAGCGAGACTTTGTCTCAAAAAAATAAAATAAAATAAAACAAAACATGTTTCAGAATATAAATTAATGTCCTAATATTAACTGTGAGAGTAGAGGACATTTTCATATTTAGTTCTAAATCATTTCTCCAGATGCAAAGTCGTATGACTAATTCAGAACAACTGTAATAGCATCTTGGTGTTATTTGCATCCCTATGAAAAGCAGCTGGTTCATCCTCATAATCCTAGTTAGATTTTTCTTCCCAAATCATCCAACAAGCTCTACCTTTGGAAAAGACTCAATAAGGTGACAGTTCCTAATAAATTTTGTGGAATTCTATGAATGTAGCAGAATTAATACTAAGGTATATATTGTGATTTAAATAATATTGTCATAGAAAGTCCAAAGATTTTTTAGTATCATGGATCAATGAATGAACTGAAGTGAGGGAGAGAAAATTTATGTACAAACTTTCTGCAAAACAAAGAGCTTAAATAGAACTGTTGATTGTTTATTGAAGAAAATTTCTCCACAAAAGATATATGTAAGTTTGTTTTTAGTGAATTGTGACTGCACCAG